CCAGCTTTCAAGATTTTGATGTTCAGGGATCACGACGATGCAGCTCAGATTGGTTAACAATTGGAAGCTACAAGAATATTGAAGGCTATAGAGCATGCGGCTCCTCCATTCCTTCACCATACATCTCTTCACAGGATCATGTTTGGATCAGATTTCATTCAGATGATAGCATCTCCAGAAAAGGCTTCAGATTAGCCTACTTTGCTGGTATGTTTCAAATGATACCTAGTTCAGTTTTATGGTTTCATTTTTTGTTTTCTGTTTCAAGAACTACTTCCTTGCAGCCGAGTATGGTATATGCATTTCCTGTAATTGATTCAAAGGTTATTGGAAGTATACATTGTGTAGATTATTTTGATCCCATGCACAACTTGACTATTCAAAGCGAGAATTAGTGTTCACAGTGATAAGCAGAGTAAATGATTGGGGATGGGGAGTTCACTTTTAATTCTAGGCAATTTGCAAGGTTTTTTTAACATAGCTTTAAGATTTGAAATTTTTCTATCAGAATAAAATTAGTTCTTAAAATAGTTGGGTAAACTTCTGAGTAGCATAAATAGGGCAAAAGAAGGAAGAAACGGTGGCATGTTTTTACATTTGCATCATTTTTTCCCATTTGTAGAAGGTATACTCTCTTTTTAGAAAAAAAACCCCACAATTTAAAAACCTTTTAACATGATTAATTACTCTAGCCAAGTATAGACATGGTTTTGTACATGCAAAACTTGTATAACTCAAGTATGCAATATAAGCTGTTTAACAGTAGTAATAGTTTGAAACTGTTTTGTGGACAATTCTTGCTCTGGTAGCTGTTACCAAGAGAGGGGAGGAAGACAGTCCTAGGTGAATACTAGCTCCAAACTTTTTTGTGGCCTTACGCGATATTAAGATTTTATATAATAGCATGATCATGGTTTTCTATGTCCTGATCATCAAAAATACTCAATTAGATTCCTCTTTGTTTTCATAATGGTTTCACTTTCTCTTGCTTCCTCAGTGTATGCTTATACTCCACTCTCTGACCTGCTCCACTAACACATCTCTGTGCACTAACTTGTAACTCCTCTCCTGCATAAAACAATTCATACTCTTACACTTATCCACTGCCACCCATCTTCAAAACTACTCCTCCAAGACTGAATAAAATGAGCCCTGATCTCCTCTACCCTAAGCCATGTTTGTGCCTGTTGTGTTCTGCACTCTTTCTGTCTTCCTGTGATGGTACCTTCCTGGCTTCCTTCACCGTCAGTGCTTCACAAACCTGAAGTTTCCAGGAGGCTTATCCCTTTCTATTGCCTGTTTTCAAGCCTACAGAAAAGTTTCCTCTAAGCTTTAGCTTCTTTGCAGCTTAGCAAGTCTTGGGAGAAGTCATGCAGCCTTGCGTTTGATGCTGGCTCAGCTTTCAGGGCAATGTTCTACCTGTGTTTTGCTTACTGTCTCACAAAAAAACATGACGAGGAAAAAAAAAAAAGCCGCTGTCTTAATCAGTCATCCTCTACTACTATTTCTGCTAACTGCCCAAGCACATGCTGTTATCCTGTGTGAGGCATTGGCTTCTGCCCCGCTTATCTCCCTCTCCTCCTCGGCACAGAGGGAAGGCAGCATTCCCGCCCGAGGGGCTTTGAGAAGGCAGGACAT